ACTGTTGATGAATGACTTAAAACTCTCTCACGGTGCAGTTTCTCTTAGCAGGAAGAAGATTTCAAAAAGAAAAACCGCTTAGAAGGAGTGCTCTAGTTAAGGTTGTTCTACTGATCAAACCCAGGAGTGACTCCTGTTTTGTCACCGGTCATTTTTTCGTCTTTCAGGATGGAACATTCCTGGTGAGAGACAGCTCCAGGAAAACTGTCACTCATCCATATGTCCTGATGGTGCTGTACAGGGACAAAGTGTACAACATCCAGATCCGTTACCAGGAGCAGGAGCACTTGTATCTGTTAGGAACTGGCTTAAAAGGAAAAGAGGTACCATTGGTGTTTTCACACTGATTCTTTTCACTGTGAGGGATCTCTTCTCTCATTCCTGTCAGGTTTTCCTGGGCTGGAATTCTGCTTTTGGTCTCAGAGTTATTCCTGGTAGAATATTGTTATTGCTGGAAGTCAAATCAGACTCTCCTGTTTGCACTCAGGGAATGAAGGGATAGCTTAGAATACCATCAGAAATCCATATACCCGGTCAGGGAATGTTTATTTACCACTAATATACCAGATCAAGGGCAATAAATACAGAACTGAGAGCAAATCCATACCCAGACTGGTGGCTCAGCGACACCAGCAGCTCTGTGTGGGTTTACTGGCACAGGCAAGCCCAGTGAGCCTCACACTGCAGTTCTGATGGAGCCCAAACAATCCAAATTTATCAATCAGCTCTCTGAACTTCCAAGTGCAGAACTGAGCAGAATGATGACATCATGTGTTAAATAAACTGCACAAATTAACTGTAGCTTGTACACACAGTTATTGAGCTACAGATGATGGTAGGAATGAGGACAGTTGATCTGACAGTATTTACTGGACCTAATGTATTTTTTTGTAAGACTGCTAAATATTTAGAGGTTAAAAAACCCCTGCTGGTTGTACTGATTACTAATAATTCTGACATTTCTGCCATAGCCTTCTCATTTTTTTCCATCCCACAGGATTTTTCTTCTGTGGCAGATATCATTGACCACTTCCAAAGGACACCCCTTCTTCTGATTGATGGAAAAGACAGAGGTTCCAGAAACCAGTGCATGTTAAAATATGCTGCAGGACATATTTAAATGAGACCTTAATGAAGATCACACATCGTATTGAAGCCTAGTGAAGTTTGTAAACTTGAAGATACTTCTTTTTTCAGCAGACTAAAATCATGAAGTCATTAAAAATCATTTCATTTCAAGGAAAAAGGATTATGTTATTTTTTAATTATGCCTTAAATGCAGTGTGCTTTAAATATGATTTTCCTACAATGTGTCTGTTATTGTCCACTGATCATGCAGTACATGAGAATTTTTTATTTTCCAAGATGTGGATGAAATTATTTCTCAGTTCTAAAATACAAGTTGCACCTGGTGACCTTTGAAGCAGGAAGAGTTTTCCCCTCACCTTTGTTAAGTGGGATTTATCCAACTCCTTGCCTCGGTTTTCTAACAACTTTTGTTTTGTGACAAACCTTGGTTTGATTTGGTAGATTTGTCACGTGTTTTTTCCTTTAAAACCATTTGTTCCTGCGTCACTTGAAACACTGGAACTGAAATTCAAGGGAGACAAATACCTCCCATGCAAGCTGTTGAGCTTCTGAGACATAATAATCAGATTTCATGAACAGTTTAAATAGATTTGTTTTGTAAATGTTGGCTGCCTTTCTAAAATATTTACAGTTCAAAGTTAGATAATTTCATTTCCGTGGAGCTGTGGGTCCAAAAATAAAGATGAAAAAGTAAAATTTTGAAAGTTCTTCAGCTGAGAAAAGCTGTTTCTAGCCCAATATTTTTTAATCTGGTGAAAGGAAAATCAGTTCTAGTCTACGTTTTTTAAAAAATGCTAAAATTGAGAACAACATCCCCCATATTACCACTGACTGTGAGTTGGAGGCTGTAATTTTATTCCACTGCAATGCCTTGAAAAATGTGACTCAAGAAACTCAGAAATACCTGCCAAGGAACTGTGTTTTATTCATTTTAAATCATCTCACTAGTGCAAGAGAAATGAGATGTAAAACAGCACAACAAATTCTAACACTGCACATTTTATCCAGTAGAATAAATTACAGTTTTATTATTCAGATAAATATATTTGGTAAAAGAAAAAAAAATACACCAAAAGTTCAAACACTTGTCCACAAATAAAGGATGATTGAATATTAATTGGAATGAAGTACATGAAAAGAGTGGCTGCTCAAATTTTGGTTCCAGAAGATTTCAGGGTGCAGTATTTAGGCCCTTTTTTTTGTAGTTAGGGAGTCACTGCAGAAACTAAAACCAAAAGTACTTTTGGTTTTCCAGTAATCTGCTCTCTGGCACTGTTTTTAGAACCAGGAAGGCAGCTCAGATGACAAGTTGCAGTTCCTCTTTCACTGGCTGTTTCTTATTCCATTTTCCTGAGCCCAACTGAGGTAAAAGAGGAATGACTTGACTTGAAGTGATTTCAAATCTTTGGTGCTGGTCCAACATGTCTTTGTTTAAAAGGGGACAACCACATGTGAAAAACTTCGTGCCCAGTTTCCTGACCTTTCTAATTGATTGCATCAGTCCTTCCAGCCCTGGTGGGCTTGATTTGGGCAACATGGACTAAAAAAACCCCTCAAAATCCCAGTAACCTGCTTATGGCTTTTTCCACTCCATATTTCCTGTTTAAAATAAAAATAGTCTGACTGCAGGAAACCATACTGTCATTGGACACTTCAAACTTCAGTCTTTTGAGGGAAGAGGAAGAAAAGAAGAAGGAGAAAAAGAAGAGGAAGAAGAGGAAGAAAAGGAAGAAAATAAAGAAAAAGAAGAAAAAGCGAAAAAGAAAAAGGAGAAGAAAAGAAGAAAAAAGTAAAAGAAAAAGGGAAAGGGAGAGAAAGACACTTCAGCAGTATTAATAGAAGGCAACACAAAAAAATGGATGTTTAATCTGTCAAACTCCACGTCTTTTCTTCAGCTTCTCTTAAGTCTTTGGCCTTTATAGGATGCTTGAAATTCAGAATAAGGTCACAAAGCAGCAGGTGGCTTTCCACTGAAAGACAAAGGGCAGTTGATCAGCGAGGTGTTTACTGAGGGCAGATGCTCAGTGAGGGGCATCTACACACAGCACTTTTGGAAGTGTTCATCTCTCAGCTCATTCACAGGTTTCGAGGGTTGCCTTGTTTCGTTTACTTCAAGGCACTTAAATTTAGCTCAGTAATATTTGTATTAGAAGACTACAAATGTGTCTGCAAAGGAATGACTTCTGACTACTCACCTGGTTCTATTGCTCCATGTAACTAAGAGTTAATTAATATGTCGATTAATATGTCGATTCTATTGCTACATGTAACTATTGTTTAATTTGTTGAACCACCAGCAAATCTGTTGTTTCATTCCATGAAAACACAGTTGCATCACAAAGAAAACGAGCCCTTCACAACCCTCAGAATGCCTTAAACACCTTCTGGTGTAGCTGGAGGAGGAAGGCAGAGTTACCATTGAGCTTCTTCATCTCACTGGACATTTTCTCGATATTTTGGATTGCAGCCTCAAGGTTAAACTGCCCAGCAGCAGCAGCAGCAGTTTTGGTGTCCTGTATGAAATAGGAACAAAACATAACTGGCAGGGTGTATGTGATTCATAAACCCGTTGAAATAGCTGTGAAATTGTTTGCTTTGATTTTCTTAATTAACATTTGAACTGAAACTTCCCCTGTTTTGTAATTATCCACTTAGATATGGCAAATTGCAACTATGGAAAGCAGGTACTAAACGCTCAGGGTAGGGTTGTTTTTTTGTCACTGTTTTTTTCACAAAGAGCTGCAGTGACATGAATCCTGGCTACAATTTCCTCTCCTCACCAGCACTTGTTTCGTTTTTGGTTTTGACCTTTTTCCTACAGACTCAAAATTAAAATGAGCCCAGTGACATCATCAGCCACAAGATGGAGCTACTGTGACATTAATGTGCATAATGAAATGGTCACTGTTAGCACTGAGTGTTAATGAACCTGCCAAGACCTGCCCAGAAACATTTGTTAAATGTTTACTTTTTGTTAAACATTTACTTAAAATCCAATCAAAATCTAGAAACAATTGACTAGAAACCATTTGAATTAAGTATCATTTGAATTTTCAAATTTATACTAGACTCCTTTTTAAGATTCTTTTTTCCCTTAGGAAAAATATTAAAGAGAAGTGCACATACCATGTTTTCTGGCTTAGGTATAAGCACTTTATTTATCATTCAGAAATTCTAAAAATAAAATCTGGGAAAACTCTGGGTGATCCATAAATAACATTCACTATGTGGAACACCTCAGCACCCTGAGAAATATGACCAAAATATACCATACATTTATCACTGACTCTTTGACTGAGTCCCTCTTCCCTTCACACAGTGGCTTCATGGTGAGTTCATCAGCCAGGGCCAAAGATCCTAAAAAGACAGCCCTCAAAATTATTAAGGGTTAATACATATAATATGTATATATGTATATATCTCACATAAAAATATATAATAGCATTGGAAAACTATAATGATTAGACCTCATTTTCATTAGTGTTTTTTGGAAAGTAGAGCCAAAGAGGTCAAACAGGTATTAATTCTTCTCGAGGAAGAATAAAAATCTTGGATTTTGTGTCTTTTACTGTCTTTTTGAGACAGCATTTCAGAATTTTTTGGGAGTTAAACATAAAGTCATTAATAGTGAATAAGCATATACATAGTGATGAAGAATTCCTCAAACATAATCCTATTTTTTTTTTAATGGAAAGCTTCCTGAAAGATCTAAAAAGACATTGAATTTTTTTCTAATATCAATTTATGGAAGGAAAACCTAAAGCACACACGAAAATAGTGACGTGTTGACTGTGATGGTGCATCTCCCCAGGCCACACTGTGATCTGAGATTCTTTAAGTGACCTTAAAACATTGTCTGCTGGTCAGTGACAGAGCTGGGATTAAATACCAGATCCCTGGGCTCGCTCTTCCCCCACTCTTCCTGCTCCTCTCTCCTCACGGATCAGGACGCCCTCAGGCAAGCTGAAGTGTGTGACCTCACTGGAAAGCTGCTTCAACACTGAAAAAAAAAGGGGAGAAAACGGGGTCGTTATTTCACCCTGGGATGTGTTTTCAGAACGTCCCACAGAGAGGGCACAGCTCCTTTGGGCTCCTTTAAAGATTAAAACCCCTGCCATGGGCACCACCCCTGCATGGAACACAGGCACAGAGCCCTCAGCTCCAGGGGCTGCTGCCCTGGGGGTGTCACCTCCAGAGATGTCCTGACTGCTCCTGAAGCACAGCCAGGCCCTCTGAGCACCCCATTCCCTGGCAGGAAAAATCCCAGAGCATCAGAGACTTCAGGGGGATTTTGGTGCTTCTCTCCTGCTGCCATGGAGCTGTCTGGGCTGTCCCTGAGGAAATCTGTCCCCAGCCCCTCATCACATGTCTCTGCTGCTCCTTGTCCCACACATTCTTCCCCTGCTCCTGAGTGTGGTGCCTACCACAGGAGATGGTCTCCCCAGGCTTCTCCAGTGTGTAAAATGGTTTGTGTTGGAAGGAACCATGGAGGCAATCTGGTTCCAAGCCCCTGGTCATGGGAAGGGGCACTTTCCACTGGACCAGGATGCTCCAAGCCCTGCCCAACCTGGCCTTGAGCACTTCCAGGTGCTGGTGGGGTCTGCAGGAGGCAACCACACAGCCCTTTCCACCAGCAGTGAGGACACTGCTGTCACCACAGCCTGGCTGCTTCCTGGCAGGCACTGGGACAAGCTGGTCCCTCCAGTTTGGAACGGCCCCCTTGGCCTGGGGCAGCCCACATGGGTAGCTCAAAGGCTTCACTGCCTGATGTTCATCAGCAGGGAAAGCCCCGTGGTGTGTCCCTCTTCCAGCACCTGAGGGGTCAGCAGGTTGCAGGAGCTCTGGAGGAGTTATGATTTCAGGAGTGGGAGGTGAGATGTAACCACAAATGCTGCAAGGGCTGAAGAAGAAGCGGAGAAGAGAGGGCTGAGGTGTCAAAGGGGAGGTGGGGAATGGTGAATGAATTTCCTCTTGTCCTTTGAGGGCTCATTGCATGTTGCAGCAACTAATTTATAAACAGTCGGTTCCTCTTTGTCATCAACTTAAATTCACGTGGGGTAACTATGATGAGCAAAGCTCAGATCATGAACCTAAATTCAGGGAAGACAAGAGAGGTGCTTTGCTAGACAGATTTATCAATTTAGACTGTGTCTAAACACACAGTCAAACACTGCCCCCCGATGCACGCACATGACTTGAGTTCAAACCAACAAAACCTGCTGACTAATGAGCTGGGCTTGGGAACTGCTCATTTCTTCCCCAGCCTGTGCCCTGCTGTATTTAAAGCCAGGGACACCAAGCAAGGGAATGACTGTCAGCACTTTTCTTTAATTGACTGAAATCACTTTTCCTGCTGCTCAGAATTCATCTGTATTTTGAATCTGCTGTTTGGCACCGGTGGAGAAGGAGTTCCCAGTACCTCAGAGGAGAGTGGAATGACTTGGGTGTGCAGTAGAGAACAGATGGACAGAGGAGCCAGCTGCCTGCCATTTCCTGACTCTGCCATTCTGCATCTTTTCAGGGTGTGCCTTCATAAAAAATTCTTCTTTAAAAGAGAGCATTCTATGTGTATTGGGTTATGGCTGCGGGGGAAGCTGAATTGCAACTCAGAACAGCATTTTCTGGTTAGGCACAATTGAACTGTGATTCAAAAAGAAAACATGATGTGCTGCTCAGATGGTGGGGCTTTCTGGAGATGAGAAATGCAGGGGAGGAAACACTTTACACCTGCACTAATTCCTGTACTCTCAATGTACAACCTCTTGCAGGACCCCAGTGCAAACAAGCTGAATGTGCCCTTGCTGTGCCCCTAAAGAAAAAGTCCAGCAGAACCTGGTGATTTTGTTGGTAAAAATCTAAAGTATAGCTGTGTACAAAAGAACCTGCAATATCTTTTCTTTATAGAACTGAAAAAAAAGTATATATATATATATAGGTACAATAACCTTTCACATTATACTTAAATTCTTCTGTAAACTAACTGCAGAAGGAAAACAGAATATTGTAATGATCAGAAAAATTAGGTTTAAAATACCTACAGTAAACTGAGTTGCCAGAACTCATTGGACAAACCAAAGAGAGAGGGTCTCAAAAGAAAGGCCTTTCTAAAAATAACCTTCAATAATATGAGCTATTAACTAGCAAGAAGACCAAAAGTGCTGGAGGTTGACTGTATGTGCCATTTTCTTTTGAGAAAAAAAAAAAAAGAGAGTGAGAGACATTTAATTTCTACAGTCAAATTTACTTGGAACAGAAATGCTTTCTGGGTTTCTTTATAAGGTAATATTTCAAAATGAAAGTTGAAATGAATAGTTTGAATTATTAAGTTACACCTTTCTGAGCTGCGTTCTCGGCGGCGCTGCCAACAATTTCATATCAGCCTGTCGGTTATGAGCTGCAGTTTCAGCTTTGCCTGAAATAAACCCCCAGGTTTATGTGCAAAGATACACAGAGGTGAAGCTGATTGTACCTCCCTTTAATCACAGGCTGTTCCAACAAACAGCCCTGTGCCTGGAAGCTTTCGGAGAACACGCTCGGTTACGGGAAATGGAGCTGCTCAGGCATTTTATGGACGTCAGATAAAGACAGAATCACTACCAACCCAGCTCTCTAAGGAGGAGAAAAGATTGGGAAGACTAGAAACATATTTGAGGATGTGAAATTAGGATTGTGATGTGAACCAGCAAGCCCTGAAGGCAACCAAAACACAGTAGATCACGTTACAGGAGCACCGTCCTCAGCTCTGCAGCAAAATTACTCTGACTGCGATTTCAGGCAAAATAAAACAGTTAAATACACAACCAGTGAACAGGAGGGTTTCAAAACAAAGGATATGCAAGATTATTTCCTATACAATCACAGATTAAGTAGAAAGACAGAGACAATCTCATATTGTATCTTATGGTTACAAAGACGTTTTAAAGAAAATGCTCTAAAGGGAAGTAGAAAAAAAAATCTACTGACTTCAAAGTCAAACAATATTTTAATATCTATTAATAAACATTAATAAAGTTAATTAATCTATCAATAAACATTAATAGAGTCTGTCTTTTAAGGCAGTCATATTTACAATACCACAGTAACAGGAGATGAGATATAAGGAAATGACAGGATCATCAAGGTTGGAAGAGACCTTCAGGATCATCTAATCCAGCCATCAACCCAGCACCAGCATAATCACCCCTAAACCGTGTCCACAAGTGACATATAAACTTTTACTGAAAATATTACCATTTGCTGTTACCTTGAAAACTGTATCTTTCATAAAAAATGTCCTAGTGGGTCTAATAGGAGAGTTTGAAGTTTCAAGGCGTGTTATTAAACTTTCTCATGAAAAGCTCTGACAAAAGAGAAACTGATTTTTATTGCCTGAGTATAAAAACTGTTCATCCAGATTACAAGGAAAGTCAAGCAGAAACCAAACCAATACACACAGAAGTCACTCATCCTCGACATGTGACAGTTATTTCTGATAAAATAATGCATTTCATAAGCCTTAGAGCACAGGCTGGATTTTGGTCGATGAACACTGGTAAATGCTGATGGTCAAAAAAAAGCCTGACCGGATCATGGTACAAGAGAGTCAAGCAAAAGGCAGACTTTGCCTTTAAAACTTTCAATCCAGGTTGAGACAAAGAGTGACAGGTAGAAAAGATTGCTAAGAAATGGACTTGCCTTAATACACGCTCATGAAATGGGAAGAGTAAACCCTGGGTTAAAATACTGCTTTGTGACACTATAATGAGTGAAACCCGTTTGCCTGGGGAGTTTTCAGCCAGAAAACATCAGGAAATTATGCAACACACTATGTTACATTGCAATACACCATGGTACACTGTTAACACCATGTAATACTCTGCTGAGACTCCTTAAATAAGACTCGATGAGGACAATTTTAATCACTTTTATCGCACCTACAGAACGAAAGCTATCGCAGCCTTTCACTGCTGAGAGCTAATTAAGCACTGATACAAAGAACCCTAAATACTGTCGAGCCCGTGCAAAATCCTCCCCTTAGTTTAGTGAGAGCTCATCTGCACACTTTGGTCTGCTGATTGCTGTGGGCAGAGGGTGCCAGGCTCGGGCACACACAGTTTGAGATCCTGAGTTTCATTGCAGCACACCCTGAACAGCAACACTGCTGCTCCTGCAGCGGGCAGAGAACTGGGCATCTTCCCTGATTGGGAGATAAACAGAGCCCTGTTTCCTTCTCTCACTTGCCCACTCAATATTTTCCTGCTCAGTGCTGTGTTTCTCGAGCTCCCAGAGCAGCAGGTTTTAACATCTTGGATGTTCTTGTCTTCCTCTCCTTGGCAGGGGCAGTTTAAATCCCAACACCGAACCTACAAGGTGCTTCCTGATGCTCTAAAATGTATTTCTGAAAATTATTTTTAAGCAATAAACAGCATAAACTTCTGCCTTGTAGATACTCTGGAAGGACTCCACTTGGTAATCTGGAAAGCTCTTTTATGTAGTGATAGGTTTTAAACTATACCTTTTATTAAATGTATTATTCAAGTTAATTATATGACATGTTAAAGATGTGGATATTCAATAACTGAATTGTTGAGTGAATATTGAACTGAATACTGAATATTGCTAAGTGCCTGTATAATGCTAATACAGATGGAGTTGTGTGCTGAAACTGGTTAGTTGGTATGAATAACTTTTATGCAAAAATAAAGACATATTTGCACATTATAACATTTGTGCTGTTCAGGTTTTTTAGTGAAATCAGATAACTGGCTGGTGAATTCTTAAGAAGATGAACAGTAAACAACAATTAAGTTCTGGTGGGATAATTTGGGAAATTAATCATAAATGTTATCCTTAGTGGAGCTTTGGGAGATTCCCTTATATTTTTGCGTTCTTCATGGTCCACGTGTCAAAGAAAGGGATGAAAGCTTGGCAGGCAAAGTTGGAGCCGATGGAATTGGAAACACAACTATTCTTGCAGGGGTGTTTAAAGTGAAATTCACATCCAGTCACGAGCTGGATGTT